CACACACACACACACACACACACACACACACACACACACACACACACACACACACACACACACACACACACACACACAAAACAACAACAACAACAAAACACAGAAACATACTGTAATACCCCCCAGCCCAAACCCACTCTGCAAAGCCCACCCAGAAGAGTTTTTTAAAAGCAAAAAGCAGCACCTTACTTTAAAAAGCACCCCGGGGCTCCCGCAGGTCTCTGGCACACAAGGCTGTCCATGCGCAGGGCAGAAACTGAAGAGGCACCTGCCAAAGAAGCTGGGAACCAGGTGGCAGTACAGAAAGGGAGCCGCAAAGCCTGGCCAAAGTGAATGGGGCCGGAGACCTGGCCGGGGCAGATCCGGGCGGGTGGGTGCCTACTCTGGAGCTGCCCTCACTTCGGGGTGGCGGATTCCTGGTTCCCAATCAGCCCCCTCAGTGTGAGGGGTTCCCGGCCAAGGGCAACAGCCTTGGGCAGACTTCCCATCTGCCCGCCGCCTCCTGCTCCACCACGGCTTCCCTCCAGCCGGAGAAACCAGGAGCTGGGTGGCAGGAGAGAAAGAGCGCCTCAAAGGCTGGCCAAAGTGAATGGGACCGTTCGCCCGCCCGTGGCCTCCTGCTCCTCCAAAGCCCCAGCCTTCCCTCTGGCAGCAGCACTCACCCAGCTGGAAAAGCGCTTGCCCACCAACTCGGTCCCGAAGTAAACGGGACCGTTTGCTTCAGCCAGCGTTTGAGGATCCCTTTCTCTCCTGCCACCCAGTTCCTGGCTTCTCTGACCGATGCCTCTATGAATTTGAATTTCCTGCCTTTTCACCCGCCCTTTTTTGTGTTCGTAAGCCGAAGCTCTGTTCGCAGGTTGAAGCAAAATTTTGTGAATGGAGCCGTTCGTAACTCAGAATGTTCATAAGTAGAGACGTTCATAAATCAGGGTACCACTGTAGTTGATGCTGCAACCAGAGGGGTAGACAGGCATCTATTCCGTGTATTCTTCGAACTGATATCCTAAAATGTTGATCTTCTGGGTCTCCTTATTCTTAAAGCAGTCTACCCAGGATGTAGAATGTTATTCTGCTTTATGTACTGTCAACCAATACACTGTATTCGGGAATTATTGCTTTTTCTCAGCAGCAAACTTTTTTAAAAAGTGTTGAAAACTATCAAGAGGAAGTATGGTTAATGTGTGAGTAAGTTTGAGAAGTAGCTGTTTTTCTATCATATTTGTTTTCAAATACCCCAGAGCTATTTAAAATCTGTCACTGTGATGAAGAGGATATCTTCCAGTGGATAAAAAAAAAATGACCTTTTAGTGTGTTTGGATATCTTAAACTGATTTTTATTATTAGGAGAAAATATAAATACACATTGGTGAGGATGCTGCTGGTATCACAAAGCATAAACCAGAGGTCATACAAGCAATGTGTGTAATCATGCCAGCACATGTTGCACACTCAGAAACATTTGGGTTGCACACTCATTTGTATGGTAGATGCTTGACAGATAGCCAACAAAATGCAAAAACTTTGCATGTTGGCCTGAACATGGTAATTTGCAGTAGTATTTTGACAAGTCTGTCTTAAGACTGTAACATGTAATAATTTATAATACTGTACCTAGTTAGAGTTTATTTACTGCTGCACTGAGATATCTTAATTGTTAAAATAGGCATGGAAAACCAACTTATTCCCAGACAATTTGCATGTGCTTATCACCAGAATGCTGTCTGTATAGAGATCAGGGGAATGGGAAAGATAGATTACTTAGTTTGAATTGAGTAAAACACAGGAGAGACATATCTCATTTGATGAAACAGATATCTTATTCTCCTGTATTGGTTTTGAATGCTAATCAAATATTTTCAGAATATGTTAACCTTCTCATGAATTGAAATGTTCAGATTTTCTATTGGAAGAAATCATGATTTCTGTAGCATTTTCCACCTGAAGTAGTTAGCTGAAATATATATTGGAGGAAATCGGTAGGTTTGTTTTAAGTTGAAGGGTTAATCTTCCATTTAAATTATTGGTTGTTCTGCCTCTAAGTAGAGCATGCTGGGATTTCCTTACAGCTGTTTTACATCATGAAGATTTGTATACTAGGGAAATTCCATTGCACAGCTGCAACTCATCCAGTCCACATTCCCAAACCTCTAGCATTTCACAAGACACACTGCATCTAACTACAACGGCACTGAATGGTTTTATACCTTTGTTAGAACACAATACAAAGCATTTATATTTGGAGAACATTAGATATGAATCCAACAATAGAAGCCAGTCTGTGTTTATGTAATAATAATAGAAAACTGTTAGGAAAAAAGTATCCGGTATTGTATTTAAGTGGTGTGTAAAACTAGTCCAAAATTAATTAGGTTTTAACTGTGATCACTATTGGGGTCACATTTTTAATGGTATACATTGAAAATAAGGCGTTTACTCAATTCAATATTTTGCTTTGCAGGCATCAAGTGAATATGCAAATTTGGAATTGAATTACAATTACAATATTGAGATGAGAGCTGAAAGAGAATGTAGATCAATGTCCTTAATGATTAATTTATATAGAAATAATTTGTATGGTATATTTATGCCAGCCAATTTACATCTATAAACTCCTTCTGACTCGCATATCACCTCTGTAACATTTGGAAGTCATTAATATCGAACATAATCTTGGTCTTAGTTTTCTGTCCCATTCCAGTACCAGTAACTAGATTGAAAGGAGAGAGTTATGCTTGTATGGTAACAAATGACATTTACCATATTTTCCATGTATAAGATGATACTTTTGTCTAAAATATTTAGATTAAAAATTGAGGGTTGTCTTATACACGGAAGTAAGGGGGGGAGGGATCGAAGCGCTTTGATCCCTGCTTTCCCCCCTCCACTTTCTTCGCAAAAAGTGAAGGGGGAAAGCAGGAATCAAAGTGCTTTGATGATTCCTGCATTCCCCCTCCACTTTCTTGCGAGGAAAGTGCTTTCCCCCTCCACTTTTCTTGCAAGAAAATGGAGGGGGGAAAGTAGGAATCGTCAAAGCGCTTTTATTCCTGCTTTCCCCCTCCACTTTCTTGCAAGGAAAGTGGAGAGGGAAAGCACTTCCCTCTCAAGAAAGTGGAGGGGGAAGCAGAAATCAAAGCACTTTCCTGCGAAGAAAGAAATTTGGGGTTAGAAAAGTGGGGGGAGGTTCTTATACATGAGGATGTCTTATACACCAACAAATGCGGTATGTTAGTGTGATAGTCTGGGAGCTAACCATAAGGAAGCAGCTTTCCAGTGATTACCAAACCATCTTTGTCATCCATGAAATGGACTGAAGGTGCATCATAAGAAGAGACTAAAATAAATGAATGTGGCTTTCAAGCCTTCTTCTATCTGATTCATTCTAAAAGTCATGTCTGGCTACTTTATTGGGCCATTAAGTTCTTGTAAAATGTGTTAAATGCAATTATTTTGCTTTTGTGGTTTCATCTTCTTTATTTCAATTTATTTCAGTATCTGCAGGTGAAGTGGCCACTCCTTGATGTTCCAGCTGGAGCTACCCTAAAGGATGCAAGATCTCCCTCTCCTGCACACTTAGTAAGTGTATTTTGCTTGGGATTGTCATAACCTTCCAAACTAGCATTTCTACAGATTTTTTGCTTGAAGTACTAGCCAGTTCAGTATTTATGTCTGTAGAATTCCTGACTGCAGATACAGCAGCTATCTAAAGAGCGGCTGATAGTGTCCATGGCTGCAAGGGGCTGGCACCTTGCCAGATTTCTGCAGCTGGGCTACATGCATGTGCAAATATTAAACAGGATAGTAGCTATTGAGCCTGTTATACAGGCCTGTTATACAGGCTCAACAGGTTAAGGATATATTTTGAGGAATTCCTGAATTAGAAATAAAACATTGGTGCATGCCTGGTCACCTACATTGGGTTTACAAGGTTGAAAGCTGTTTTTATTACTATCTGTCATAAATTTGAGGAGGTGCAGTTTTAAGTCCTGTTGACAAATTAAAATTTATTATGGAAAAGAAAACTTGTAACTGAGAATTCTTAGTAAATTCAAATATGAAATTGCTACTCTACTGACAAGAAAAACCAACAACAACTTTTCAGTAAATCAGGATTGGGATAGAGCCACCATAACAACCATTTTTAAAAAGAAATGAAGCAAACCAACATATTACTATCCAGTTAGCTAATTTTTAATCCTGGTAAATTGAGCAAAAGCACTATGAAAATTGGAAATTCTAAGCTCAGAGAGCCATTAAAGAATCAGCATTGCTATTACAAAAGATAATACTCACCATCTTTTTTTATCTCCTTTAAGAATGTTACTCACAGATAGAAAAATATGTCCAATTTGGCAGTTATAATACATTAGGATTGCAGAACCCGTTTTGATGATAATACTTGCAAAAGAAAAGAACTGTGTGATATGGAATTGTAACTACTTCTAAGGAAGTAGAAGACAAAAATAAATTATTACGTCTCAAAAGGGAAGAAAATAAGCAGTACTTTTAGAATTTGTGTTGAGACCAGTGCATATTTAAATTGTTCATAAATAATCTGGACTTAGCAATGAGATGGTTAAGGGACAAACTTATTGTGGTTGGTGAAAACCAAGGCAGAGAAATTCAAAAGGCTCTCTCTGTTTTTAAAATATATACATTCAATTTATATATATAGTGGAACCTCTACTTACAAACATCCCTGCCTATGAACATTTCAATTTACGAACAGCTCCGTTCGCAAAATTTTGCTTCTGCTTGCGAACGAAGCTTCAGCATATGAACAGAAAAAGGCAGGGGATGGATTAAGTTCATAAGTAGAGGTTCCATTGTATAATGTATGAAAACATAAATGTATTTTTTCCACCTCTTTCTCTTGTATTTATAGTTATATTTTCTCAGGATATTTCCTTTTCCCCATCTCTCAGTGCAAGTTATGTTAAAATGCAAAAATATCCTTCCCTTTATCTTCCAGTCAAACAAGGTTCCTGTGGTACAACACCCACATCATATGCATCCACTGACGCCACTCATAACCTACAGCAATGACCACTTCTCACCAGGTTCTCCACCATCTCACCTCTCCCCAGAGATTGACCCAAAGACAGGTGAGTTTTTATAAATTATGCCCCATGCCCTAGAAACCCCCTATGAACTATGTTGTAGTTTGACAGAAAAATATAATTAGGTAGAACATGAAATGAGGAAGAACAAAGCCAAAAGTCGAAATCAATTCTACTAAAATTCTTTAGTAGAAATCAATTCTACTAAAAAGTATCTTGTGACATTTGGGGGAGGGTGATATGTTTATATTTTTATAGCTCAAACGAAGGCCAGAATCCTTTGGGGAATTGAAATTTGGGTGAGAAATTGCATCTTTTAACATTTTATTTTGCATATATATGTATTTTCACCACAAGGAATTCCACGACCACCTCATCCATCAGAACTATCTCCCTATTATCCGTTGTCACCTGGTGCCATTGGACAAATTCCTCATCCCTTGGGGTGGCTTGTACCACAGTAAGAATTATTACTTTGTTTCTTCCTTTGTTGTTTTCCCTTTCTGTAAGAGCTGTCTCCCCTTAATGTTATGGGAATTTCCTAACTTTTCTATGTGACTAGAGTGTGGTTTTTGCTCTTATTATGTGATAGCACCTGAAATGTCTGTCTCAGTTTCATGAAACCATCACATTGTAACTTTAAAGGTGGTATAACTTTACACACACACACACAAGAAACCTACCCTATGTAGCACCAATATTTCATTAAGATACAAATACAGTGATAGCTCGACTTACGAACTTCCCTACTTGCAAACGATTCAAGTTGCGAACGGAGCCTCGACTTACGAACAAAAAAAGAAAAAACCTTTCCTGCCTTTTTTTGACCTAAGTTCATCTTAGGTCAAAAGAAGAAAAAAATTTTAAAAATCCCCCCCCCATTGGTAGAGTACGGATTAACCGGCTTTGCATTAGTTCAGCGATGGCGAACCTATGGCACACATGCCACAACTGACATGCAGAGCCCTTTCTGGCGGCATGCGAACCAGATCGCTACTCGCCCCCGCCCCCCCCACAGCCAAACCTCAGGAGGTGGCTGCAGCCGGTGCTGGCACTTCGGCAGGCAGATCCAGAGCAACTGGTGCTGGCAGTGGAGGGATCTCGAGGCACCTCCACGCCAGGATTCCCCCTTCTGCCACCACTTCCAGTTCTGGGTCCTCCACTTCCGGGTCCCCCACCACCGCGACAGCTAGCCACGTTTTTTTATTTCCCCCAAAGTTTGGGCACGCAAGCCCAAAAAGGTTTGACACCACCGCATTAGTTTGAACCTCTACCTACGAACAGTGCCTCAACATACGAACGAAAAATAGCAGATACGGATTAAATGGTTTTCAATGCATTCCTATGGAAAAGTTTGACTCGACTTGCGAACTTGTCAACATATGAACACCATTCCAATACGAATTAAGTTCATAAGTCGAGGTACCACTGTAAGCTTCAGTGCTTGATTTTCTTTTGTTTTCTCACCATCTATATAATCTGTCTCCCATCTTTTCCTCACATAAGTAAGAATGGTGTACAAAAGGTTATATCTAAAGGTTACCTTTAAAATCTTGGCTTTGAAACCCTACCCTGTGAAGAGGATTAGAGATTACCCAAGGCCATGTGTAGCATGCTTCATGCCTGAGAGAGATTTGAATTTACAAGCATGAAAAAGTAAATTAATAATTATTGAACACAAGTATGACATATAGACGTAGCTCTGTGCTTGTGTGTGTCTTATCCTGATTAAGTGGAAAAGAGAGAAGATTAAATCATAAGGGAATTCTATAAAAAAGAAGTTACTTATCTGTAACTATGGTTCTTCGAGTGGTCGTCTGTGAATTCACACTAATGGGTTAATCTGCGCTCAAGCAGAGCAGTTTCAGAAACTTTCACAGCTTTAAGCACTTAGTGCTGGGACCTCCCCTACACCAGCTATATAACTCCACCCCCGGCACTAGTGTCTCAATTCTAAGGAACCAACTGCCGCTGCCCAGCATGCCATGGCACACATGACGGAGAGCGGGGAGGATGGCGGGACATGTGAATTCACAGAGGACCACTCGAAGAACCAGAGTTACAGGTAAGTAACTTATTTTTCTCCTTCGTGGTCTCTGTGAATACACACTAATGCGTGACTGGCAAGGAGGAGAGACGTCATGAAAGTGCAGAAGCCAGGACAGCTTGACCTGCCTCAGCCTTCAGCTGTACATCCAGGCAGTAGAGCGAGATGAGGATAGGCGGAATGGCACATGTGGCAGAGCGGCAGACATCTGCGATATCCACTCCACAGAGAAAGGCTGTTGAGGATGCCACAGCTCTAATAGAGTGAGCTCTCACTGACTTTAGAAGAGGAGTCTGCCAAATTATAGGGAAGACAGATGGTCTTGACTAACCATCCAGAGATGGTCTGAGAGGAACCCGGTCCTCCGAAGGAGGAACCGGCAAAGGTGACAAAGAGACACTGTGAGGCACGAAAAGTGGTTGTGCTATGCACATAATGCGACAGAGGACGCTTCACGTCTAGAGCGTGCGGAGAGGTCTCAAACAATGAAGATGGTGTGGGAAGGAAGACAGGAAGGACAGCTGGCTGGTTCAGATGGAAGGCAGAAAATACCTTAGACAAGAAGGTAAGGCCTGGCCGTAAAGTTACCTTACAGAAAGGAGGACCCGTTCTTAGTGTAGCCAGTCCTCCAGTCCTGCAAGCTAAGGTTATTGCCAGGAGAAAGGCAGCAAGCAGAGTGATGCTGACACCAAGGGCTTGAAGGGAGGCCTCATAAGCCACCAAAGAATTGATTGGAGAGACCACTGAGATGTTAGTGGTCTATAAGCAGGGTGCATATCCTCCAAGCCTTGGAGAAACAGCTTGCAGGTAGAACGGGCCAGTCCCAGGCAAAACAGGTGAAGGAGAAAATGAAATAATGTGAAGGCAGCAAGCAGAGTGATGCTGACACCAAGGGCTTGAAGGGAGGCCTCATAAGCCACCAAAGAATTGATTGGAGAGACCACTGAGATGTTAGTGGTCTATAAGCAGGGTGCATATCCTCCAAGCCTTGGAGAAACAGCTTGCAGGTAGAACGGGCCAGTCCCAGGCAAAACAGGTGAAGGAGAAAATGAAATAATGTGTCCAGAGACATTGGCCTAATAGGCAAATGTTGTCTTGATGCAAAGTGACAGAACGCCTACCAATTATAGGAGTAGGTCAAGGTGGTAGAAGGCTTGCAAGCATGATTGAGCATGTCCGTTACAGTCGGGGAAGACTCCATGTGGACAGGTAGGGGGACTCGAGGTCCAGATGAAATATCCAATCCTTGTCCCAAGAAAGCAGATGAGGGACCAGGTGCAGCCTGATGTATTCCACAACTCAGGGGAGCAGGATCAAAAACCATGGCTAGTGAGGTGACCAAGCATGACATTTTCACACTCATGGTGGACACAAACAACAGTCCTTTGAAGAAGGGGGAAAGGTGGAAACCGGTAAAGGAGGCTTCGTGACCAATTCGTCAGGAAGGCATCCCCTAGGGAGCTGTGGCCGATGCCAGCTCGGGAGCCGAACATGGCACACTTCTTGTTTAATCAGGAAGCAAAACGTCTATGTCTGGAGTCCCCCATCGATGACAAAAGGTGGCATCATTGAGAGCCTGCTCGTGAGAGCAGAACCGTAGTCTGCTGAGATGGACTGCCACAGAATTGTTTCTGCCTGCCAAATGTACTGGACAAATGTGGCAAGCATGACACCATTCTGAAAGGTTAATGATGAGAACAAGAAGGCATAACGAATGAGCACCGCCCTGCTTGTGTATATAATAAACTGCCATGGTGTTGTCTGATGTGACCTGAACCACCCGACCCCGGAATAGGGGCTCAGAGGCCCAAAAGGCCTTGATGTTTGCCAGGAGCTCCAGCAGAATGATATGAAGGCCAGCTACCAGCTGGCAAGGGCAACGTGGTGGCGCAGATAAGCCTGCCCGCCCGGTGGGCAGGCATCCACCACTGACTGAACCAACCAGGTCAAGAGACCAAAAGGGTCTCCCTATGCGCAGGTTGCGGGGGATCCCCACCAGTCCAGTTATGCAGCGAGTCACCTGGAGCAACGTGGATGGGTGGTCGTAAGATATCTGAAAAAGTGAGAGAAACCAGGCTTGAAGGGGCTGCATCCTCAGTTGAGCATGCTGTCCCACAGCTGTGGTAGATGCCATCAGCCCCAGGAATCGCTGGACCTCTAGGACAGGGAAGCAAGTGCCTGAAGAAAAAAGGAACATAAGAAATCAAGCAATTTCACAGACTTGTCATCAGGGAAGAAAAACCCTGCTTCAAGAAAGCATCCCAAGTCTCATTAACACAATCTACACACTGTGTAGGTTGCAAAGCCGACTTCTCTATGTTGACCTTCAGTCCTAATGCTGACAAAGGGACAATGTCAAGGATGTGTGTTTACCAGTTTGTGACTTTTACTCAGCAGCCAGGAGCCAGTTATCCAGCTACGGGTAAACAGTGATTACCCCTGCTAAAAGCCTGAGAAAATGTTGATGACCTGACCTGATGCCATCATGAAAACAAGCATCCAACCAACGCTCTGGACGTAACATGTGAATAACAGAGTCCAAGAAAGCCATACAGAATCTATGTAGAGTAATAAAAGAATTCAGGCCTTCAATAAATAAAATAAAGGATGGGCCAAAGGCCTCCATTCTTTTTTGGGTGTGTGTGTGGCCATAACGTGGCCTATGACAGTGGAGTATATTGAATTCAATAGCATAGCTATATCCAAGTATTAAACATGAAGGAACACCAATCGGAAAGATGAGGGGCCCGATGGCCCGACTGGTCAACGACAAAGAAGTCAGGTGCAGTAAAGAGACCGCTCGGTTTTGCAGTCCTTCCGGAGCTTGGACAGGTTATCAAGAATAACATCAGTTTTCTGACTGAAAGCCGTACACCAACAAACGGCAGATCCTCGACCCGTCAGTTGTTTGGATGCTGGTTTAAGGCATGTCGAGCAGCAATGAGCTCGTGTCGCGCCCGCCCCATTGTGTCCTAGTGATATAGGAGTCCTTAACTGTAAAGGGTAAGGGACGTGGTGGTGCTGTGGGCTAAACCGCAGAAGCCTGTGCTGCAGGGTCAGAAGACCAAGCAGTCGTAAGAACGAATCCACGCGACGGAGTGAGCGCCCGTCGCTTGTCCCAGCTCCCGCCATCCTAGCAGTTCAAAAGCATGTAAATGCAAGTAGATCAATAGGGACCACCTCGGTGGGAAGGTAACAGCGTTCTGTGTCTAAGTCGCACTGGCCATGTGACCACGGAAGATTGTCTTCAGACAAAACGCTGGCTCTATGACTTGGAAACGGGGATGAGCCCCGCCCCCTAGAGTCGAACATGACTGGACAAAAAAAAAGGTCAAGGGGAACCTTTACCTAACTGTAAAGGGGCACAGGAGTTACCCACAGAATTAGCAATGCCAAATTCAGTAAGTGGTGAT